AGAGAGAGAGAGAGAGTATGTATGTATGTATGTATGTATGTGTGTGCGTGCGTGTGTGTGTGGTTTGTTTATTTTTTTCAGGGTTGGGGTGGAGAGTTACGGTCGAAAACGGGACTCAGCGACGACTTGCGACGTGTGGTGAGAAGTAAGCTGTTAAAGGCTGAAACTTCTGTGGCTTTCGAGTTCTTGTCGGCAATTCACAGAATTATTTTGAGATTCATCCCGTATGATGTGGTGTCTTGGCGTCGTCAGACATGATGCCGACTATGATTCGAGATGGGGAAACAAATGTGTTCATCTGGCTTGCTCGCCCTCTATCAGCTCAAATGATGAAAGACTTCTCTGACAGAAGTGCATAACTTTCCTTGTCAGTTCTTGATCTGGATAATCCAGGGACACAGCAAGTGGCCAACAGTGATGTAGCGAGTCCCGTCTCTCTCGTGGCAACGACTGAATTGTCTCCGCTAGTAACGAGTGGCGTCCCTTGACACCCTGCGCTCCGCAGGTCATTGGCTCGCGTTTTGTCCTCGAGTGTCCGCGCATGCGCCGCGCATGCCGACTGTTCATTCTTCCGGCAGAAATTTATCGTCTGACTTGGTCCGTCGCTCTTTATGTCTGTTTTGTTGGCTGTCTCTCTTTTTCTGTCGCGCTCCTATTTTTATGCAGCGGTCGGTGTGCCTCTCCATCCATTTCCTTTCATCTATTGATTCCTTTTGAAACTCTTACCATGAAATATGCGCGCAAATGCGTAAAAGCGATATAAGCCTTCAATCCTTTCCGTTTCTTAGAAGAACAATCATCCGCTCCTGCATTTGGGGAGAGAAAAAAAAAGCAAGCAAACTCACGCCCAGAGAGATCGCGCGTGTCCAAAAGATTAAGCAAAACAACAATTGTTTCTTTGATGCAGCCGCCATGTTTATTGCCCCGCACTGACCCAGTTGGACGGAGACGTCATAGATTGCGTCAGGGTGTCCCACGGTCTACCGGGTCATCGCTCGGCTGGCTGGCTGGCTGGACGCTTGCTTGCCTCACGTGCTTCTTT